AGAGAGAAATGGGAAAAAAGAGAATGAAAAGGAGAAAAAAATAGGAGGGGAGGAAGAAAAAAAAAAAAAAAGAGACAGAGAGTAGATAAAATAAGCTGGACTATATAGCAGCATTAACTGTTCCAAATTGCAAAAGAAATAAAATAGACTTTCAAATGTCAATAGGTTGAAAAAGATGGTAGATCCCATCCCTCCATGGCATTTACAAAGTTTTCAACAGATCAGGAAAAACCTCAGTATGTATTGGAATGCAATATGGACAAACTTACTTCTCGATTACAGAATGGAAATCTGGAAAAATTCCATGGATGTCATCAGATTTACATTATTGTAACTGAAAGCAAAACTTGTCCCCAATTCATGGTATTATAGGTATATAGAAGAAAATGATCTCATGCACAGCTGGACAAAACGTTAATTTCTTGTTAAGATCAACTTCTTTTCACAAAAAAAGTGGGAATTCATCATTTTAAATTTGTTATCCAGTTCTATATATGTTTCCAAATTCACTATCACTAGATGAAATTACTAGGTAGTAGTATAATTGAAATAAACTTCTTTTCCATATTTTAAACCAAATCTGAAAAAAACACCCTCTCGGTCCTTCCTCTAGCACAACTACACAAAGCCATATAGCTATCATTTAACTACAATTTTATCCCTATTATTCTTTGCTGACCGTGCTCTCTCTTTCCATATCTTTTGAGTACTGGATCAAACCATTATTGATCTCTCTCAGTCTAAAGAAGTGGCTGCATGAAGAATTTCCTGAATATTTTAAGTCTTTGCTTCACTTCCTGCTGTACGGTGTACAAAGTCTGATTCTGCCACGTATGTGTAACAAGAATGTTAAAGCTATGAAATCAATAGCTCTCCTGAGATAAATTCTTCAATGATTATTCTCTGCTGAAGGATTAAATAAAAAGCACTCCCAGTAACTGAGATAATCACTACCACCTGACTGGATGTCTTCATCACCTGCTGTCTCAAAGAAAAAAAGTCTGCAAATGGTTTCTTTTTTCTTAATGGCTGGATTGGCAGGTCTCACCAACCCCTAAAATAATGATTAATTGAAGGAGTTTCAGAATATGCCTAGACTGCAAAGAAAAACCTATGGCACCAAATCTCAGAGACCAGGACAAGTGACTCAGGCTGGTAAGGCGGGGATGGGGGTGGGGCTAAAAGTATCAGTGCAGACGTTCTGGTTCCAGCTGAAACACAGGTTCTGAAACCTAGTGAAAAGCTTAGAACCCAAATGCCTACACTGCTAAGGTACAACCGCATTTGCTCAACCCCTCAGACAGACGAGAAAGAGTTGCTCCAGAGATGCTTTGAATGAGATTTTCAAAAGTGCTTGGCTTTGGACTATTATTGACTTCAGTGTAGCAACATTAGATGAGTGCTGAGTAGAAGTGCATGGCCTCCCCTGTTTAAAAAAAAAAAAAAAAAAAAACAGAACACCACTCATCACCTAGTCCCTAGCTAAAACCTCTCCAATGCATCATCAGTGATCTACGACCCATCTTGGGCAATGATTCCCCACTCTCACAGACTGTGAGAGGCAGGCCAGTCCTTGCCCACAGACAACCCGCCAACCTGAAGCAAATTCTCACCAGCAACTATACATCACACCACAGTAACTCTAACTCAGGAACCAATCCCTGCAACAAACCTTGGTGCCAATTCTGCCCATATATCTACACCAGTGACACCATCATAGGACCTAACCACACCATCATGGGCTCATTCATCTGCACATATACCAATGTAATGAATACCAACATGTGCCAGTAATGCCCCTCTGCCATATACATTGGCCAAACTGGATGGTCCCTACATAAAAGAATAAATGGACACAAATTAGATATAAGGAATGGTAACATACAAAAACCTGTAGGAGAACACTTCAATCTCCCTGGACACACAGTAGCAGATTTAAATGTAGCCAATCTGCAACAAAACAACTTCAAATACAGACTTCAAAGAGAAACTGCAGAGCTACAATTCATTTGAAAATTTGACACTATCAGTTTGGGATTAAAAACAACTGTGAATGGATAGCCAACTACAAAAGCAGTTTCTCCTCTCTTGGTGGTCACACCTCCACATCAGCTGCTAGAGTGGGCCCTCATCCTCCCTGACTGAATTCACCTCATTATCTCTAGTCTTCCTCTTGATTGGTACTCTTTTTATATGCCTGTATAATTATACCTGCCTCTGGAATTTCCACTACCTGCATCTGATGAAGTGGGTCTTTGCCCACGAAAGCTTATTCTCCAATAAAAATGTCAGTCTATAAGGTGCCACAGGACTTCTTGTTGTTTATACACTGCCATGTTTAGCCCTGTAGCCTGAGTCCCACAAACCCAAGTTAAACTGACCATGGTTCTAACACTCAGCCCTGTAGGTTTTTCTTTAAAGTGTAGACGTACACTGCAGGTGGAAGGTCAGCTAAAGGTATGCAACTCAAGCTATGTAAATAGTGTATCTTGGCATGGTCTCCACAGTGGGAAATTGACAGGAGAAACGCTTCCGTCAACTTCCCTGAATCCTCCTAACAGAGTTCTATTTAGTGGGTTTTTACTAGACCTACTGAATCAAACCCTGGAAGAGTTGATCCTCTAGCAAGTGGAGATATGGCCCAAGAGTTTCTAAGGCAGGGTGAAGACACAGGCCAAGTCTTTACAACCAAAAAGTGGAGGCATGGTTTTGTTTTTGTTTTTTTTACAGTAACTAATGCATATCAGCTCTCTCATTGTACAATCCTTGTGCAGCTAGCAAGGGATGTAAAGGGTAACAAGAAAGGTTTCTACAGGCATGTCAGCAATAAGAGGGTGATCAGAGAGGGCGTGGGGCCCATACTGGATGAGGGAGGTAACCTAGTGACAGATGATATGGGAAAAGCTGACACACACAATGCTTTTTTTTTTTCTTTTTTTGGTGCTTCTTTAAAAGAGGGAAGAAGGACAATCCAGGGAACTATAAACCAGTCAGCCTTACCTTAGTCCCCGGAGGGGATCCTCAAGGAATCCCTTTTGAAGCACTTAGAAGAGGGGAATGTGATGAAGAATAGTCAACATGGATTCACCAAGGGCAAGTCATGCCTGACCAGACCAATCTGATTAGCTTCTATGATAAGGTAACAGGCTCTGTGGACATGGGGAAGTCAGTGGATGTGATATACCTTGACTTTAGCAAAGCTTTTGATACGTTCTCCCACAATATTCTTGCCAGCAAGTTAAGGAAATATGGATTGGATAAGTGGACTGCAAGGTGGATACAAAGCTGGATAGTTTGTCACGCCCAATGGGTAGTGATCAATGACTCAATGTCTGGTTGGTGGTCGGTTGCAAGCAGAGTGCCCCAGGGATCAGTTCTAGGGCCGGTTTTGTTCAACATCTTTATTAATGACCGGGATGAGGGGATGGATTGCACCCTCAGCAAGTTTGTGAATGACACTAAGCTAAGGGGAGAGGTAGATACGCTGGAGGGCAGGGACACGGTCCAGAGTGACCTAGACAGATTAGAGGCTTTGGCCAAAAGAATTTTATGAGGTTCAACAAGGACAAGCACAGAGTCCCGCACTTGGGACAGAAGAATCCCAAGCATTGTTACAGGCTGGGGACCAACTGGCTAGGTAGCAGTTCGGCAGAAAATGATCTGGGGATTAGCGTGGATGAGAAGCTGGATATGAGTCAACAGTGTGCTCTTGTAGCCAAGAAGGCTAATGGCATATTAGGGTTCATTAGGAGGAGCATTGCCAGGAGATCTAGAGAAGTGATTATTCCCCTTTATACTTCATTGATGCGGCCACATCTGGAATATTGCATCCATTTCTGCCCCCTCCCCCCCAACTACAGAAAGGATGTGGATGCATTGCAGAGGGTCCGCGGACGGCAACGAAAATTATGAGTGGGCTGGAGCACATGACCTACGAGGAGAGGCTGAGGGATATGGGCTTATTTAGTCTGCAGAAGAGTGAGGGGGGATTTGATAGCAGCCTTTAACTTCCAGAAGGGAAATTCCAAAGAGGATGGAGAGGGGCTGTTCGCAATAGTGATAGATGGCAGAACAAGGAGCAATGGTCTCAAGTTACAGTGGGGGAGGTCTAGGTTGGATATTAGGAAAAACTATTTCACTAGGAGAGTGGTGAAGCACTGGAATGGGTTACCTAGGGAGGTGGTGGAATCTCCATCCTTAGAGGTTTTAAAGTCTCCGCTTCACAAAGCCATGGCTGAGTTGATTTAGTTGGGATTGGCCCTGCTTTGGGCAGGGGACTGGACTCAATGACCTCCTAAGGTCTCTTCCAGCCCTAGGATTCTATGGGAAAAGGCACAATAAGTTTTAAACAGTGCCTCCCTACCACAGATGACCTCACCTAGCAACACTGCAGTAAAACAACAACAACAAAACAACAAGTCCTACAGAGCAGAGCTCTCCAAATAACTGATTTTTCAGCTTGCAGGCAGTTCCAAGCAAGTCATCAACCCTCCCGCTCAAATAAAAACAAAACCAAAAAGACAAAAAATATTGGTTAAGGTCAAATCAATATAGATTTTTTTCCAGAATATTTTGTGTTTAAAGTTTGTCTGGAAATTTCATCAGAGTATCTTTTCTCCACTAAGATTTTATAATGAGCTAGCTACTGTGTGAGTTAGCTCTCTGTAAATAGAGCCCTGTGTGGATAGAAAATTTGTATCTGGATGAGCACCCATATCTGCAAACGTTAGCCATAGATACAAAGCAGATCTACATGGATTTGCAGAGGGTCTATCAAGCACACATCTTTCTGGCAGTGAACATAAAAGCCAAAGGGATGTCTGCCAAAGTTATTTTAAGGTTAGTAAATGAAAATACAAGATCATGATAGGAAAATCAGTTGCGCATAGAACTGTAGTAACATGATTTACATAGTGGTTTGGCAATAGTGTAGACCTCACACTTGCTCAAAAACAAGTAGCAGGAAAACATTTTCTCAACAGGTCTTCTCAGAAAATAAAATGTACTTAATATCTATTTAGTTAACCTCCAAAGTTTAGATCTTATGCTTAAAATGGTACAAAGAGGCCACGCTTTTCCTGCCAAAAGACAAGATCCCATCTGTGAAAAACAGGAAAGTAGCATAAATATAAATAATAATGATAAAAAAAAAACTATTGACATCACTTATATTAGATACTACACCTTAAGCATTTCCAAATCAATCTAGTCAAACGACAGTGCTTATGGTAGCTTTAGTACCTAAAAACAAACTCCATAAATCTTCCCATAAGGAAAAACATTCTGGGCTTGCTGCTCTAATTTTTTTTTTTTTTTTTTTTGGTCATCCCAGACCACAAACTACTAGAGAGTAGCCCAAACTTTCTATCATGCCCCTCTCAGAATGAATACTCAAGGCCATCCATACCCATATGCAAAGCACACAGCCATATAGTCCCCATGAGTACTACACCCCTTACACTGCCAGCCCACCTGCCCTAAAGGACCTGAGCAACACCAGGTAAACCTGCTAGTATCATATGAAGTTTAGAAGCTATCCAATGTGGTTTTCCTAATGTAAAGGTCTTTAAACTGAGAAGGAAGTTTATTAAGTTTAAAAGATTTGTATTGAGGCTATAGAAAGGATAAAATAAGATGCCAAATTCAGATCTTTATAATGTACTTACCGGCCAAAGATCTTTACAATTGGTGTGGTAAGTATCGTACCCACTAGTCCACCAATGGAGAAAATAGACACGGTTACAGACCAAAGGAGTGTAAGATTTCCTCCATCTATTACATGGCCATATCTTCCTTCCCAACTGCCATTGTAAAACTTCTTGATATACTGAAAGCAAAGAGACAATAATGGTATGTGTGAACGCAGCTTAGTTGAGGAGTAAGGCCACTGAAATAAACATGACTTAATTATACTAAATGACAAAACAGGAACTTGCTGAATAGTACAGGCAGTCCCCGGGTTACGTACAAGATAGGGACTGTAGGTTTGTTCTTAAGTTGAATTTGTATGTAAGTCGGAACTGGTACATATTGTAGGGGAAACTCTAGCCAAACATTTCTCCAGAGCTCAGTTTTATTCTCCCACACCTCACTTCCCTCAGTCCTTTATTCTCAAGCTGAGGTGTCTGCTGAGAAAAGCTGCTCCGCGTCTCCCTGGTCTGCTGAGGGGGGCGCTAGCTTCGCGTCTCCCTGGTTTGCTGGGGGGAAGCAGCTAGTGCGGGGTTGCCTCACCCCGTTTGTAAGTAGGGATCCGATGTAAGTCGGATCCATGTAACCCGGGGACTGCCTGTAGTTTCTTGAATAGACATCTGTGACGTCCATCTTTAATCTTTTCACCCTAATCCTGAATGATCTGGAATAAATAAAAAATATGCAAATTGAGTTGTTAGTGTTATGAGTTGAGTGTAGCTGCTGCACTGTGAGACTTTTTTTTTTTTTTTTTAAATAGGTCACTCAAAAGAACCTTGAAAAGCCTGGAATACCAGCACTAGCACTTTCTTTGGCGGATCCTCAACATAAAGCGAGAGGATCCTTATACTAATGTCAGTGTCGTCAGAGGCCAACACCTTCAGAGTTGGACCAAAATTAGCTTGCACCAATGGAGGTGGAATGAGCACTTTGTGTGCATGCTTGATACAAGCTTACCAAAACAAATGCTGTATGGCCAACTCACCAAAGGAAAAAGAGCCCAAAAATGTTTTAAAAACATCCTCAAGATAAACAAAGAGATGTGGCATTGACACCACACACTGGGAGACAGCAGCTCAGGATAGGCATGTCTGGCAAAGGCTTGTCAGAGAGGGAAGATCCACGTTTGAGGAAGAGCACCTTGCTTTGGTTGCAGAAAAATGGCAGGGGGGGGGGAAGGAAATATAACAGTCACACAGCAATCATGTCCCAGTTCTGTCTTCCAATACCACCTGTAATGTCTGCCAACCTGCCTGTGGCTCAAGGATTAGACTCCTCAGTCACCACAGGATCCATGAAAAATAAAACCTGTGAAGGAACTCATCCTCAAACTTGCAAACACAGTCCCCATAAAAGAAACACAAAGCCCAGAAGGCAAATATGGCCCCAATGATGATGATAATGTAATTCGGATAAATATTAAGAAGCCACTCTAAAGAAGTGGCCGAACCAACAATAGTACTACTCAACACACTGGCAGGTGAAAAATCTTAAGAGTCGATGCTGACCCAGGCCCAAGGGTTTTTTAGCAACAAAACTTGCCAGTGTAGATATGCTCTGAGTGGCAGTTGCCATGTACGGGGGCAAGTATCACAGGCAGCAGAAGCTAATCTGATTAAATAGAACAGAAAGAAATTATATAAATAAAAAAAAGACTTAAGATAAAGTATGCTGTGTTTATTTATTCAGAGTTCAGCACACTTTGGGACTCCCCACCTGAAAAAAATTGCAGCATGAACCCTAAAGCACAGTGTCTAAAAGGAAAGCTGAAAAATCCTTTTAATGAACCAGAAATACATTTAAAACAGTGAGGCAACATATTTATAATTATGCAATAAACTTACAGTTTTCAAAGGGTAGACGATCCATCTACTATCTTTTTGCACATAATGTAACCTCAAGTGCCTATCCTGAAAATTAACTAAATGCCAAATCTCCTGCACAGAGAATGTATGAAGAATGCTTTCTAGTGCTTCCCATCAAAGCTAATTATATTATTTCCACTTCTTGAAGGATGTATTAAAAAAACCTCTATGAAATACTACCAAGAAATTGCTACACAGCTAGAATCCAGTTAGCCTCTGGCATTTTTGCCATTTCAATGTTCCATTCTGACTCATATGTATCTTGTCATAAAATTTGCTTTAGTTTTTTGAAGTGACTATAAAAGTTACAGAAATAGTACACTTTGAGTGAAGGCCTACGGTATACTCTCCATGACACAGGAATTGTTATTAATACACTTCACATTTTGAACTCAAGTTCATGGACTTGTTTGCAAATTACCCATTTTTCATTATTTTTGAAGTCAATCTTTTAACACCTGTGTGAGGTATCAGACCCCCAAAGGCATATTTTAATACTGAAGTAGGTTCCCTCACTTTCAGAGGTGCTGAACACTCACCAATAACGGTAATTTATACCAGTGTAATATAAATCAATGTACAGGTTGGACCTCTCTGGTCCAGCACCGTCAAGACCTGACTGGACCCGAACAAGGGTATTTGCAGAGCTCTGTGGCTGGGGCAGGAGCTCCGCAACCACCTGGCTCCACTGCTGGGACCATGGTCCCCTTGCTGCCTCTGGGGAAGCTCTATTCCCAGCAGCAGCTAGGGAGTTCTGACCCTGTTCCCAGCTGCGGAGCTCCGGCTGTGATGCCAGCTGCAGACCCGACCGCGGACCTAGGTGGCTGAAGAGCTCTGGCCCTGGCAGCAGTCAGGGAGCTCCACAGCCACACTGCCTGGAGCCAGAGCTCCCCGATAGCAGCTAGGGACAGGACAGAGCTCCCCGGCCACTGGAACCAAACTGGGGCTGGAGCTGAGCAGTTGGGGCTAGAGCTCCCTGGCTTCTGGGGCCAGAACAGATCCGGAGCTCTGCAGCCAGGACTGGGCTGGAGCTCCTTCATCACTGGGGCCAGAGCTCCCCACTTCACCACCCACCCTCTCCCCCACCCGACATGTGACTCCCAGCTGAATCACCACTCCTCCCCCTCGCCCCCACAAACCACCCTTCCACCCCACTGCCAGACATCCTGGTTCCCTGGGCTTTGTGGTCCAGGAACATCAGTGGTCCTACCAGCCCACAGATGTTGCCAGACTAGAGAGTTCCAGGTCAGAGAGGTACAACCTGTACTTATATCAGTAAGTTCCACATAGGGACATTCTTTTTCTAGAACTAGTAAGTGAAAGCCCATATTGCTGTGGTGATAGAAATGTAGCCAATTGCAATTGTCTGAGTTAAGTCTAATATCACAATGTGCTAGCACTCTTCATGGCATAGACAAATGCTTTATTATAGCTATATACAAGATATAATTCATGAAGTCAAAATGGTCAATTACTGTCCAATTTTAAAGTTCAAGCAGGGTTGCCAGATGGTTACAACAACAATACTGGACACATTTGACATTACATCACAATCTACATTACGTCTTATTTAGAAAATACCGATCATTTATATTTTCTCAATTTGTTTCCTGAACAGAAAGGTCAAATACTGGACTGTCCAGTTCAAAACCGGACACCTGGCAAGCCTAAATCCAAGCAATGATTCAACTTGCTGATATGCTAAACAAAAAGAGCGCTCTTAGTAGCAGTTTCCATCACTCCGAATCTACAGACATTTGGGGTTCATAAATGAGAGAGAGAGTAACAATCCTTATTTAGTTCAACCAAACCTCCTTGCAAAAAGGCATATGCTAAACTGAAGGTGTTCTTGTATCTCAAGTTTTTAAAAGGTTATTTTGTCTCAAATAGTCAAAGCTTTTTGACAAAGAGCCTTCATATACTCATGTGAAGAAATAGCAGCGTGTGACGGACGTCCCCCCATGCTTTATCAAATAAACTTATGGACACAAATATACATAACTCAAAGATGCTTGGGACAAACAGCCTCATATAATTTATCAATCTTAATGTCTTAATCCGCTGGGTCCATATATCTTATTTTGGTCTATGCATAATTCTTATGTGTAAAGTTAGATACATGGAGTATGGAATACTTTATGGTTTTAAAAGTGCAAAGGCAAGCCATCAAGAGTGTTTCCCTCAAGGTCTGGTCAACTCTAAACAGTTTCTTTTGTCCTTTAAGTCTTAGAAGTGAATACTGTGTTCAGATGTGGTCACCTCATCTCAAAAAAAAAAAAAAAAATTTATATATATAGATATAGATATAGATATAGATATAGATATAGATATATAGGCAGGCAGTGGAAAAGGTCCAGAAGAGGGCAACAGAAATGATTAGGGGTTTGAGAGATTAAAAAAACTGGGACTTTTCAGTTTAGAAAAGAGGAGATTGGAGAGAGGGTAATACAATAGAGGCCTATAAAATCATGACGGGTGTGGAAAAGGAGAATAAGGAAAAGTTATTTACTTGTTCCCAAAACATAAGAACTAGGGGATACCAAATGAAATTGATAAGTAGCAGGTTTTAAAACAAGCAAAAGGAAGTTTTTCTTCATGTAGCACACAGTCAACCTGTGGAACACCTTCTCAGAGGATGTTTGAAGACCAGTGCTTTAACAGGATTAAAAAAAGAAATATATAAATTCATAGAGAATAGGTCCATTAATGGCTATTAGCCATGATGAGTAGGAATGGTGTCCCTAGACTGTTTGTCAGAGGCTGGAAATGGATGACAGGAGAGGTATCATTTGATGATCCCCTTTTCTGTTCACTTCCTCTGCGGCATCTGGCATTGGCCACTGTGGAAAGACAGGATATGGGCTAAATGGACCCTTGATCTGACCCAGTATGATCATTTTTATGTGAACACTCTTACATGCTATTTTTTCTTGAGAGACCAGTGATGCTACTTCTTGCTGTTCTGCATCCTTGCTGAGGAGCAAAGAAAACCATATTTTTCTTCTAAGAAACCCAATGGGGAAGGAGTGGCGGGGAGGAAGACAGGTGACAACATGCTACTAACTTCCCAAGTCTTTTCTATTTCTTTTTATGAGGCTTCTCGCTCCTGCTCAAGATTCCTACTGCAGGGGTAAACATACTTTCTGCCTTCAGTAGTTCTACAGAGTGAGTGAAAAATATATTCTACTTTCAACCTCTATTATGTCACCTGATCAAAGAGATGTCAGCTGATCAAAATAATGCTTAATACTTTCAGTCCTAATAATGGGAGATA